GGCGCGCGACACGAGTGTGCAAATGTGGGCGGACGGGCGGGCTGCAGGGATAGCCGCCTCAACAGGCGCCCCCGCTGCTCTGGCGCAGGGAAACTGAGGCAGTCTCGCCGTGGTTCCTCTCCTGGGCACTTGGCAAGCTCCCGCCACGCGACGTGAGGCTCGCCGCAAAGGAAGCACGCGGCTTCCCGGGGACTGCCTCCTTCTGAGGTGGCTGGAGAGAGGGCGACGCCATGCCCCCCATCCCCATGGCGGGCAGGCCCCTGGCTCTCACCCCAATGCTGGGGGATCTGGGACCACGGGAAAAGCCGCACGGAGGGCCCAGCGCGCCCTGGTTGACACTGTCACCTCCCTGCCCCAACCGCGGTCATATCTGCAGTGGGGCACCTCTACAACCCACGCAGAAAGCCAGTCCGGGGCCAGGGCGTGAGCCAGACCCGCGGGCCCGACCCCACCGTGTCCTCCGTCCCGAGTAGACTGGAGACTCCGGGCCCTGCCGGAAGCCGAGCCCCCCTCCCGACCCCCAGGAACCGGCTCCCCTTGCATGGACGTCGAAGGCATCTCTCCGCGCTGCACCCGGTGGTGTTTGACAGACTTTGTGGAATGCACTCGAGGTATATAGACACCTGCGGAGGGAGAGGTTTCCAGACGCTCCGCTCGCCCCTGGCGCCCCCGCGCCGCGTCCCTTTGGGGGTGTTTTGAAAGGGAAGCCCACGCTGGACCTCGCGGCCTTCGCCCTCCGCCCTCTCGGCCCCGCAAAGACCTCCGGGCCAGGCCTTTAAAAGAAGCCTCCCGCTCCCACGGACACGCTGCAGGGCCTTTGCTCGGTCACTTGTTCCTTACACCCCTCCCCTGACCCGCACCCCAACCAACACCCAGCAAACTAGCAGCAGCTGCAGCACCCAGCCTCGGCGGCGGCGGGGAGCGGCCGCGCCGGGGGCGGGGCGCAGGGATGGGGCGGGGCCGGGCTCTGCGGAAGTTGCGGGTGTCTGAAGCTCGCGCGGTCGGAGGAGGGCGGGTCTCGGCCTGTTTGTCGTCGGGAGGGCGGCCTCTTGCAGCCCCTTCCTGTCCCCAGTCTAAGGTCCCCGCGCTGCGCCGCGGCACGTCGATTGCGCACCTGCTTTCCCGGGAACGGGCCAGTTTGGCCGCCGACGCCGCGCTGCCTCCCCTCCTGATTCCCAGGCCCCTGGCGTAGAGCTGGCAAGAGAGGGGCGGCGGGAGAGTGTTCTGGAAAAGTGGCGCGGCCTGGACAAGAACTCACTGGCGCCGCGAGAGTCAACCCAGTGGAGAAGAGACTTTATTTCCTTGTCCTTTGTTGCTCAAATCACCTAAGATGATTTCCTTGGCCTTTTTGTTTGGTTAGTTTTTAATTTCAAAGTCTAAACGGGCTAAGCACTGGGCTGCTATCTAAAGATCCGCCGGAGAAAGACCTGGCGATCTGTTCCTGTAAATATTAAAAAAAAAAAAAAAATTGTTGCCATGGAGTCGACTCCGACTCGTAGGGACTGTATAGGACAGAGCAGAACTGCCCTATAGGGTTTCCAAGGAGAGGCTGGTGGGTTCAAACTGCCGATCTTTTGATTAGCAGACGATCTCTTAACTACAGTGCTGCCACCAGGTTATTATAGCCTAGAAAATCCTGGAGGGCAGTTCTGCTTTGTCACATGGGATCGCCAGTGGACTGGAGGGCACCCAACAACATCGGGGGAAAAATGGCCTTGAACGGTTGTAGAATCAACGCTCCTCTCCTTTTTACTTGGGAGAAAACGGTGTTTCTTTTCTCCTTTGCACAGGATTCATATGGGCGTGCGTTGTTCTGGGCTGGATGCCCCGGCAGCTCCTCATCCTCCAGCTCCCCAGCTTGCCCCCGGGACCCCGCGATGCAGGAGGACAAACCGGGGCCGACGCCGCCGGAGCAGGAGGCAGTGGCTGCACTGCGGGCCTCGGGGGAACCGGGCCTGGGTCCCCGGTCACGGGCCTGTGCGCTTTTCCACCCCCTTGGGAAGCGCCGGCGGAGGCCTCCACTCAGTGGGCCCCTCAGATGAAGCCACGCAGGCGCAACCCCCGCCCCGCCACCGCCCGAAAGGTGAGCAGCTCTGCAAGGGCGGGGGCGCTGCTGCCTCAGGCTTCGAAGGTTCGAGAACTTGAAGATGGCGTGGTCTGCCCTGGGCCACAGGCCTTGCTTTGCCGCCCGCGTTTGCTCCAAAGGCCTGGGCCCCTGGGGACAGAGCAGGTCGTCCACTGCGACCCGTCTATCTCCCTTCCAAAATGGTGTGGAGCCGTGGGCGCCCAGGACCGTTCTCCTACTCAGCGGCATTCCCCGGGCTCACCGGAGGCGGGTTCGTCACCCCCCCCCCCCGCCCCGGCCTCGGCCTCGGCCTCGCACGGCCTGGTGCCCTCCACCCTGCGCCCCTGTGGGTGCGCAGGAGTCTCTCCCCAAGCAACCGAGGGAGAACAAGGGAATCAGTGCCGCCTCAAGAAATCAACTGCTGGTCACCCTGCTGCTTTGTCCCTTCTTTCAGTTTGATTCTGGCCAAGGCCAGGGGCCGAGTGGCCGGGATAGGGCGAGAGCAGAGACCTTGTGCCCAGGGAGACGAGGCAGGTTCTCCCGGCCTTACACAGGCTTCCTGCCCGCACCAGCGTCACCGTAGTCACGAT